GGATACCTGGGACATTGAGAAGACTGAGGTACTCTATGACTTTTTTCCTTGGTCTTCACTGGTGAGTGCTCCAACCACACCATTCAAGTTGCAGAAAGCAAAGGCAGGGACTGGGAGAATGGCGAATGGCCCAATGCACAGTGTAGTTTTGAGCTCATCTAAGGAAACTGAAGGTGCAAAAGTCCATGGGACCTGATGAGATTTCATAGAATCACAGAATAGTTAGGGTTGGAAAGGACCTTAAGATCATCAAGTTCCAACCCCCTTGCCATGGGCAGGGACACCTCACACTAAACCACCTCACCCAAGGCCTCGTCCAACCTGGCCTTGAACACTGCCAGGGATGGAGCATTCACAACCTCCCTGGGCAATCCATTCCAGTGCCTCACCACCCTAACAGGAAAGAATTTCCTCCTTATATCCAATCTAAACTTCCCCTGTTTAAGTTTTAACCCATTACCCCTTGTCCTATCACTACAGTCCCTAATGAAGAGTCCCTCCCCAGCATCCCTATATGCCCCTTCAGATACTGGAAGGCTGCTCTGAGGTCTCCATGCAGCCTTCTCTTCTCCAGGCTGAACAGCCCCAACTTTCTCAGCCTGTCTTCATACAGGAGGTGCTCCAGTTCCCTGATCATCCTCATGGCCTCCTCTGGACTTGTTCCAGCAGTTCCATTTTTTTTTTATGTTGAGGACAACACTGAGATGCGTCTATAGGTCCTGGGGGAAGTGATGGAGGAAGTGGCTAAGTAACTATCCATCATACTTAGAAAGCTGTGGCAGCCTGGTGGAATTTCTGCTGGCTGGAAAAGGGGAAATATAACCCCTGTTTTTAAAAAGGAAAAAGGCTTAGACCTGAGAAACTGTAGGTTATTTGTTCACACCTCAGTACCCAGCAAGATCATGGAGTAGATCTTCCTGGAAATTATGCTAAGGCAATGGAAAACAAGGAAGTGACTGCTGACAGCCAACATGGCTTCTTCACTAAGGGCAAATCATGACTGAGAACTTCGGTGGCCTTCTACAATGGGGTTATGGAGTTGGTGGCTAAGATGTCCTTTTCCTGAACTTGTACAAAACATTAGATACCATCTTGCACTACATCCTTGTCTCTAAAATGAAGAGGTATGGATTTGAGGGATGGACCACTTGATGGATAAAGAATTAGTTGAATTGTTGCACTTAGAGTCAACAGCTCAATGTCCTAGTGGCGAGCAGTGACAAGTGGCATTCCTCAGGGGTTGGTGCTGTTTAAGGTCAGTCATACGGACAGCTGGACTGAGTGCACCCTCAGCAGGTTTACCAATGACACCACGCTGTGTTGTGCATCAACATGCTGGAGGGAGGGGATGCCATCCAGAGGGACTTTGACAAGCTTGAGAGATTGATCTGTGCAAATATTGTGAAGTTTAAGAAGGCCAAGTGCAAGGTTCTATATCTAGGTTGGGGCAATCCTAAGCATGAATGGAGACTTGGAGGAGACTGGCTTGAGAGCAGCCCTGAGGAGAAGGACTTGGGAGTGTTAGTCGATGAAAAGCTCTATGCGATCAGGAAGGTGTGCTGGTAGCCCAGAAAGCCAACCATATCCTGGGCTGCATCACAGGAAGTACTTAAGTATTGAAAATCTGTAAACTCCACTACAGAAAACCTTAAGGGGTGTATCTCTGCAAAGATTTAGGACCAATTATACTGCGCACTTTGACAAACATTGTCCAAAATGTTCTAACTAAATATATGTAGGAGCTCCTTTGGTATTTTCCATTTCTCAGTGGCAAGAAAGCCTGAAGAACACTTTCCAAATATATGAGTTTTGCTGTTTGGATGCTCAGCTGAAACCATAGATTTAGTTTTCAAAAGTAATGAGTACCTACATAGGCCTGCTGATTCCAGATGGCTGAAAACCTCTGATGGTCTTTGAAAGTGCAGGATGTAACGACCCAGTGACCAGCCCAAAACGAGGCGATCTACACGTATGAACATCTCTGAAAATGCCTTCCTTTTTCTCTTAATTTCTCAAATTTATATAGATGACACCCCTCTTGGGGGATGTGTATTCATGAGCTTAGATCTGAAAATGTAAAAGAACTGCAGACAGCTATGCTAAAAGAGGACCAAGGAAGATGTAACCAAGTTCTCTCTTGGAAACATGCAGTGTTATTGTGCATTGTATCTTGCTGTCTGCTTTGCATTTCAGAACTGAGCATGGCACCCTGAGCATGCCTATTAAGCCAAATATGAATAAAATTTCCTATTACAGCAGTTCTGTTACCAGGAAACCTCTATTAACAATGTCCAATTTCACTCCAATATACATATCCCATGCTTAAATGTATTGCAGTCTGTATTATTTCTATGTGTGTTTGTATGCCCGCTAAGATTTATGTTGTATAACCATTCAATTGACTCTGCATTGGAAAAGAAAGCTCTGCAAACACAATGAATGCACACAAAAATCTCTCGTGTAAGGAAGTGGAGAAAACTTCTTTTTACAATATATCGTATGTGAAGCAGATGCTGATGCTGCTTTGAGTGTTTAATGGGGATTTTGATAGTGCCTAATTTGCCTGTAATATTTACGACATCAGTAAAGTATGGTTTTCATTTTACAAATGGAAAAATATCGTAAGAACTACGTTGTAGGTTTCAGATAGCAAAAATTCTGTAAATTCAATCCCCTTTGCACTTTAGGGGAAATGCAATGAAAAAGAAATCAAGAAAAAAAAATATCAGGTCAACAGACTCTTTGTAATCACCATTTCAGATTACCTTAACTGTTTGGCCTGTGCTGTACATAAATCTAGTTTATAATTGAAAAGAACTTTAGCCTCATTTCCTCTTTATGGCCACTCCTGTCTGGGCTCTTGAGCATTTTTCTGCATTGTTTGCATCTGGATCAGATAGATTCCCAGGACATCTCATAAATATAATTGTACATGTATATGTATCTCCCCAAAATACCTAATTATACTTCTCCCTTCGATGTGTCTCAGCTGGAGTGATTTTTAGCATTCTGCTTTAAAAGGACATATTTTCAGATGATATATTCATTGTTAGTAAGTGCAATAAAAATTATAAGAGTAGATTGCAGGGAATTGTCAGATGTAGCCTGTGGATAAAATATTAGCTATTAATTAATTTAAAAATCCAGAAAAAAAAATAAATCAAGCTTTTCCTGCTAAGTGTTCAGTATAAGAAATATGAAAAATTGTCAGATGTTTAAAGTCTGTCTGCTGAGAAGCTGGTCAGAAATACTGAGTGAAATTGTGATTTCTGGCACTTCTAATTAATTTGACTCTCCAGCAAGATGTACCTTCATCTTCTTTTAAACCCCTCTGGTGTACTTCACCTGAGGTATCTCTGTTTCCATATTTTTGTCACATTAGATAGGTAGGAAAGCACATAATATATACTTCTTAAGGCGCAGCATATTTGTGCTGTATAAAATCAGTAAAACAATCTAAGAATCAAGACTCATAGCATGATTTGAATCCCTAAGTTCCAAGTTTGTACCCAGTGCACAAAACTTCAGACTCAGGTGACAGTGGATTATTTTCTAACAAACATCACCCTGTTTTAAATGTTAAAGTACATTACACACAGTGACAAACCCCCCAAACTACAATGTTTCAGCCTCCTGCAAAAGCACCTCACTCTTTGCTTATAACTTTCACTTGTACAGTTAGTTTTCCAACTGTTCAAACAGAAACTCTGTTTTGATAGCAGCTTGTTGAGAGAACTCCATGCTTTCCCAGTATGTACTTGAAGAAGATTAATGAGTCTTCCTAACATGCCAAGTCAATCTGTTCCCTTCTGTCAATCAGCTCCCATAGAACAAGTATGTCTGTCTCACTGGCTATATTTTCAGGCAGATACATTGCAAAAGTTTAATTAAAACACTAACCACAACTGATCATGAAAGACATTCCAGAATACTACTGAAGAAATAATTGGGTAGGTATTAGGTAAGCTTATTTATGAAGAACCTTTTCTTGAAGGGGTCAGTGAGGATGAAGGAAAGAATAAACAATATGACTAATTTGACAGGATCATTCTTATGATTGAATTTTGATTTCTGCTGTCAGCTCATTCAGCCTGCTTTAAAAATTATATCTACTTGATTAAGTCTACTTGACTATTGTCCAAGAATAGATAATTGACATTTAAATGAAAGTAGGGTATCACTCTTACCTTGCTGGTAAGGGGATGGGAGGAAAGGAAAGCAGATGACAATTTTTGCAAGACTGACTTTTCACGTCAGCAAGAAATCACATATCAGCCTATTCTATTATATCACTTCTTAAAGAAAGATATTCAGAAATAAGATAGGTATTTCTCATTGCCTTGAATCCCATGGAGTTCAAGTGTGTGTGCAAGACACTGCCATCACTGGTGCATGTGAAAAACTGAGGTAGTATAGTCCTGCCCGCCCTACAATACATAAAACCTGAAAAACTGTGGATTTCAGGTCTCAAGCAGCTAAATTTGCCATATTACAGGTTAACAATGAGTGAACCAGAGCATGGATGAATTAGCCAGCACAGTTAGAGCTGACACTGTGGAGGAAGCAGTTCCTTGAGAAGGTAGTAACAGGAGTCAGGGGAGCACCCAAGGAGAAGTCAGTCATATTAGGGTTAAAAAATGAAGGACTGGAGTAGAAGCAAAGAGAAAGAAGTTGAAAAATCATCTGAGGAAGACTGAACACCACTTACAGAGGACAAAAACCTGGAAGTCTGAAAACCAATTCTACTTTAATTATCCAAGTTTTGCAGTGATTAAGTGCTTTCCTCAAAATTTAATGTTAGAAAAAATACATAGGATGTAAAAATGTGCAAAGATATACAAGTTTATGCTGAATAGGTCATTAACAATTGGAATTCCTTTTGTCCACTAAAGTAGGTCAGCTTCTAATCTGTTTTTTAGTTACGAAAGAGGTCGCAATGGAAGGAAAACACTGTAGGGCCCAGAAAAACATAAAGAGTTAAGGCACTGCAGACAACTTCACCAGCTGAAACACATTTATTTTTCATAAACAGTGAATGTTCATCAGTTGAGGCCTAATATGAGAACACTAAGAACAAGGAATGATTATGGTTGCAGAGGTATTACATCATTGAGGGAAAAATAACAGTTGCGTGGCCTGTTTCAGAAAATATCCATGTAGACCCTAACCAACACAGTCATTGGAAGAAGATCCAGAATACATCATTTTTTCGAGTAACTGAAAATACAGCTTAAAGTATTGGAAAAAAGTTTTAGTGGACAAAATTCCTGCAGGTCCATAGTGCTTTGTCCCCTACTGAAATGGGTGCTGGTAGCAGTTCCGACACTGTCCAGCACTTAGAAGTTTTGTTCTGGCTTTTTTTGTCCTACATTCACAGGCCAAGAGCTTCTGGTAGATTCAGCCTATCGTCAACTGACTTTAGGCCGATCCTCATAGTCTTTCTGGATGAAGGCTTGCATTTCGGTCTTCTAGTTGTCTTGCAGTTTCTCTGCTGTATCGTCTGCTCTTGGTCCACTTGAACAGGATGAATTTGTTTAGAATTTGCATGGTGAAACCATCCTGGATCAATATGTCTGCTTTATATGTATCTGTGAGAAAAAACACCAATCATGTAACTCCTTTGCGTGATCAGGAAGACAGAAGATAATGCACATCAATATCCAGACCTAGACTATTGAGACACCTACCCATGGGTCAAGTTTTGTAACTTTGCAACTGGAACCCAAACGTGGTTGTATTACCTTGGAGATAACACAAAGAACAGGACATCAGAAAACTGAGTGAGTTTGATTCTATGATTCTATCTGGAGAGTCTAGTAGAAATGGACAAGAACCTTTTGTATAGGTTATGCTATTAGGGATGGAGAGGAGAGTAATGGAGCTGATCTGTTTTTGTCATATGAATATATGGTTTCAGGAAGAATCCACGAGAGATATGGGTGAAACTGTGCTCCTGCCATGCAGATGATATGTACAGGGACAGGAAAAATGGACTGTGATCTGAAATGGGATCATTCTATACTATCTATACTATTCTATACTATCTATACTACATTCTATACTATTCTATACTATCTATACTATCATTCACTGTCAGGTCTGGGAATGTCAGCAGAAGATGGTTTTGATGTGCTGGGTGAAGTATGAGTGGTGTTTAGGCAGAGGGGTGAGAAGATGTGGTGAGAAAGGGCTAATACTGCTATGTATCACTGGGTAATGATCTAACTCTACATTTAATTTGTTTCGTGGTCTTTTGGAACCTAAGTTGCAACCTTTTAGGAGGTCTGGTGAGCAGAACCAGGTGGCCCAGCTCATACATACATTTAGTGCTGGGAGAGGGAGAGACAGGAGGACACTGCAGGTTGGAGTCTTCTACTTAGGTCAAAAGTGACCAGACTTTTTGAAGATGCAAGCATTGAAATGCGTGGGGCTGTCAAAGTTGGGCAAGAACATTTCTGGTTGTGACGCAACTGCTCACTTGGAGAATTTCCTGGTGTCTTTGCTGTCTAATTAAAGGAAGTTTCTGGTTTCAGTTAGAGATCCAGAGCAAGTTGGAGAGGGCATCAGTTCCTGAAGTGATGGTGGGAATTTTTAAGACAAAAGGGAACTCTAACATGCTGTTACTGCAGTTGTTATGCCCAGAGTGCCGTACACATCAGCCTTGGGAGGATCCATGTACCCCCCTCTCCATGCCCCCTCTCCATGTCCCCTCCACCAGCAATGTACTCACCAGAGGCCAGCTTTTGGGCTGTGGAAGGGGTCTGGCTGTGTTTGGAGAGATCTGGGAAGATCATGTCTTAGATGATGCCACCAGCAATGAATTTGGAAGTGGACTGAGCCTGAAGTATGTTGAGGATCCCTTGCTGATGGGACTTCTGCTGGACACTCAGCTCTGCCCTGCTGACAAGAGCCTGTGAAGCATTAGGCATTCCCTTGTGATCTGCCATGCAAGCATCTTGTGAAAATCATCTTAAAAAGGAAAAGTGCATCTCGCAGCCCTAATCAGCTCAGTCCTTCCTCTAAGGGAAAACCTTTTTCACTTTCTGTTTCTGAACTGAGTGCTGCTCTGTTGATACAAGCCTCAGCCTGGCTTCTCAAGGTAGTGTTTAGTTTTCGAGATTTTGCATAGGTCTTCTCTGGGAACAACCTACACCATGGTTCCATCTAAGGGTCAGCCTGTCTACCTAGGGCACTGTGTGCTTATGTTGGAAAGCAAACAGCTGAGGAGTCTGTACTTCAGTGCAAAATGAAACCTAAATGTGTGTGATGGCATATACATGATTTACGTTACGTGAGAGCTTGGCGGCACGTTTCCATGAGGAGCAAGAAAGGTTTTTCTCCTCAAATGTTCCATACATCAGTGATGCGGAGCAGGAAACCTTAGAAGAAGCTGTATAGTCCCCAGCACTCTGCTGAATGCCCCAGGGGAGCAGTTTCTCTCCTCTAGGCTCTCAGGACTAAGTGGACTAGAAGAGCTCTCCTTTCAAGGTTATAGTTCAGGGTTTTTTTCCTTTACTATCAGCACCCAAAAATTCTGTGGAGTGTAGAATGCCATTCCAAAATCCTATTAGGTAGTTTTAAGTATGCCTTTATTCACTGAAATTTCAAATAGGATGTCCTGAGAGAAGCCTCAGGAAGGTTTTTCTTTTATTTCTTTTGGTGGGTTTTTCTTTTTGTTTGGTTTGGGGTTTTCTTGTTTTCTTTTGTTGTTTTGTTTGCTTTGGTTTTCTTTGGTCTCTGTTTTGTTTTTTTTTAACCTTTTTTTGTTGTTTTTTTTTTAATATTTTTGAAACTTTAAATTAGGGTTTTTACTGGCAAACACAATAAAATAAAAGGTTCCTATTTATAAGAATGCCTGAGGCACAGAGACTTAGAAATACCATATACATTAGTAAAGAGTTTGCTCATTTAATTGTAGTATTGAATAACTGCAGAAGCCCAGCACATGCCTCTATAAACTTCCTGTCTGTGATCCATGGTGTGGTTAGGAAATGTCTAGATATCTGGTATGCAAGCTTAATGTAGGAAATGTTAAAATTGCTTATTATTTCCTTAAGCAGGTTTTAGTGAATTAATAAGACTTGTTTATTAGTAAGAAATACTCAGGAATCCAAATTTGCGCAATACTGTCTAACAAATATTTGCCTTAAAGGTAGCAAGTTTTAAATGAGTGAGATAAAACATATCAAATGTAAAGTATAACATGGACAAAATTAACAAATCTAATTTAGCATTAGAACACTTCTGAGAATATTGACCTTCCTTTATGCTCACACTACCTAACAAGGGAAGCCCAGATGATTGGCAGTCATGAAACAGGTCATAAGAAGAAGTATCAACCTCTAATCCTCAAACCAGTTCCCATTCTTCTTGAAAGACACTTTCCTTATAATCAAGTGAGATCAATACCTTGATTTATAGGAACGACACATTTAAACAAGGCAGAAAAGTCTGTGATAGACATTAATGAAGACAGAGTGCCCAGGGGATTTTTAACAATTCATTTTTCTTCAGGGAGGTGAGAAAGGCTGTGATTAATTCTAGCTTTTCCTTCCCTGTCTTTAACAGACCAAGTCATGAAAGTGACCCAGAGTTACCTGTTCCGCTTAAAAAAAAAGAAAGGACAGAAAAGAAGCCAGATATATTCTCTATTAGTCTTACTAAAGGATAAACAGGAGAAAAAGAATTCAGATGTGGCAGGTGCAAAATTATTGCTGCTTTTCTGTGAAATTTAAAGACAAGACTTTAGAAAAGGCCATTCAATATATATCTGCTGAAACTAATCAGAGCAATCTTAATGCTGAAACTAGCTTTGTATGCCTGCGATGGACAAATCTTATAACACTCCAGACTTTCCAGCACTCGGGTTCTAAATGACATAATCAAAATGTTTCATGAAGTGTAACTTGCACATCTCTACTTCCTTAATAATTAAAGAAACCTCTCAGACTCAGTGCACATGCTCCAGCAGGAACGATGCCACTCAGAAATAAATTGCATGTCTGCTTAAGATTCTTCCCCAGCAGTATTAGAATCTGTCCAGTAAAATGATACGAACTAAATTTGCCATAGTGCTAATTTACATTGCCATTAATGGGAACACAAGTTTTAAATCATAGACATAGAAGTACTATTGTGCATCCAGCTTATTTCGGCTCCATTCAGAGTGATAAGGCAGTCTCTAGACAATTGTAATTACGAGTAATTTGTAAAAGTAATAAGAACTGCTTTTTATTACAGGCAATAAAAATCAATTCCTCATTCAATTATCTTTCCTGGCTATGATACGATAGCTGCCCTGAGTGAGTGCAACAGGAAGAAGTCTGAACTAAGTTCTAAGGACAGAACTATGAAAGAAATAGACAATAGCATTACAGAAAGAAGAACAACCCCAAAACAACCCAGCAAAATCCCCACCCCCCCGAAAAAGAAAAATCTACAAAAATTTCATCTGTATTTTAACTTCTTGTCATAAAGACATGATAATAAATGCCCAGTACTATTGCTCTAATACTTCTTTTTCTTTAAGACCCCAAATTCACATATATTCACCTAAATTTAAGACCAAATTCATCAAACCAGTGACATAATTCACATGGTTCATGTGAAGTAAAAATGCTTCAATTTTAACATGAATTAGGCCTTAAAATCACAGATCTGATCTAGTTATAGTGTTCCTGCTCATTGCAGGGGGATTGGAATTAGACGACCTTTGAAGGTCCCTTCCAACTCACACTATTCTATGATATTATGATACCTTCTATATAATGATACATAGTTTTTATGCTTCAAGGAAGGGTGCTTGTTTATTTTTTACAGAGGCAGCATTGGAGAGAAATTCTGGTCAAACAGGAAACTTTCTGGGGACAAGTCCTTGGTTTTTATTTGTGTTTTTCTCTTTCATTTTCTATTCAACTAGAAAGATCTGGAAACAAAATAAAAACAATTGAACCTGTCTAAAAAAGCCCATTTAATAAAAAAACATTTTGCATATTTTGAAAACTTTCATACATTTCTGTCTTCAGGTGAGCTGGAACTGAGGAGCAAGGGTGGCAAATTTCATTTTGGCAGTAGGACCTGAATTTGTTTATTATCTTGACCTCCTAACAAATCTGAGGGAATTGTGGGTGAAGAAATATAGGGGCATAGAAATATTCAAGCACACAAATCTGATTAGGTGTTTTCCCAATCTGCCAGACATGTGAGATTTTATGGAAGTGATAAATTGAACCTCCACTGCAGAGGGGATTTGAGGATGGGCCACTTTATCCTGCTACCTTTGATTTCCCTTCTTAATAAGGAGAAGACATGGTATATCAGGTTAAATTTTGATTCAGAATAGTAAATATGAGCCTCACTGAGTCTGCACAAAGCGAACCACCCTGCAAAGACTGTTTAATGGCAAAGCTGTTCCAGGATTAGATGAATGTAAAAGGGGTTTGGGCAGCCTGTTTTTTACAACCTCTCTCTTATTTGTCAGAGTTGATGGGAGAGGCATGAGGATAAAGCTTTTCATACTCAGTTGGGGATTTCAAGGTACCTAAAGGAAAGTGATCCACCTGAGAAATCCATTTCTTTCACCATCTAGTTCTACATGAACCAATATGATTGGATAATGCTTCACCCTTGCCAGTTAATAACACACTTGAATGCTAATATGTTGACAGCTTTGAGGCATCCTCTCTTAGAAAACTCGTATAGCTATTGTGTTCATTAAAACAAGAAGCCAAATCCACAAAATTCTGTCTTATGACAGAAAAAGGGAGTGCAACAACTGAGCCTACATAAACAGCCATGAAGAAACAGTAGAGACAGATGCCGCTAACCACTAGGCTCAAAAACCTTGAAAGCAAAACCTGTTTGGATTGAGCAGTGTGGCTTTCTAGGGTAAAGCACTGCCTCTTTGCATGAGATTTATTCAAAGAAGCACAGGCATCTAATGTGAACAAGCAGTCTACACCCTCAGTTCAGTCGAAGGAGGAAATAAGTGTTTCATGAAAACAACATGATTCTGCAGCGGATACCTGAAATAGTTCATATTCTAAAAATACATGATTTTCTTAATTTATAAAGGGCAACTTTGTGTGACTAGATGGAATGGAGGCCTCTGCACTGTATTGCTATGAATGAGAGGAACATTCCTGTGGGTGCCTGTGTTTCCTGGTAAGTTCAGACACTTGGGGATTTGAATTCAATCTTTGCTTGGTTTTTTGAAGGGAAAGCCCATCTGTTTTTAAGATCTCCTGCTTTTGTCAAGGTTTTAATTCCTGCCTTTTCTTTAAAGCCATATGTGCAATCTCTTGAAAAACTTACACCTTATATCGTCCTTGACAGAAATCAGAAAGCTTTGTGGCTGTCTAGGATTCTGATTTAGCCATGATGACTAATGTGTTTGTTCCAGTGTAAAAACAAAGAGAGATGGCTTCAAATATTTCACAAGATCTTCCTGTACATCTTTCACAAATCTTCAGTGTTATCTTCTGTGCCACAATTTCTATATCCTCCATTTTTGTATGCACAATCTTTCCTTTCTTCCTCACTACTTCCTGACTAATGAATTTTGAAGACCTATTTCTAAGATTTTTCCACATTTTTCTGTAGGTCATAACTGATACTGCCAATTAGTTGACCTTATTCTGTCTTGCTTGACATCCAGGGGGCATTTTAGAAAACTTCTTTCCAAAATTAAACACTAAGTGCATTTAAAGTTTTTAATCCTTCTTCCAGGCTCTCCATTATTCTCAGTGCCCTGCACATTCTTAAGTCACAATTTCCAACTAAATATTTTCTTGGGAACAGCTTCTCAGAGCTCTGCTTTTATAGGAAAGTCTAATTCCCAAGTAAAGAAGGTGCTCTTAGGAAGAAAAAAGAATCAGGAAATGCGTATGGAATTGGAATACAAATTTCCTGT